ACTTCTAATAATCTGTATAACAAGAAGTTTCCCTTATTTTTCTCGTATGATCCACACGCTTTGAAATGTAGTTAGGTAATTTTATGTACTTGCTTTTATCAATACCAGGCATATCATTAAACATTGCGAGCAAGAACCTCAATCGAAAATCTTTGCGCCTTGACAATAAAGTTTCCCAACCAAGTACATTTTTAGTCTCTGTTACGCTATCGTTTCTACTCTAATTTCCTGTTACAAATCTCGCCGCACAGTTTTGAAGCTTTTCTAACTTATCTGCAAGGTACTTCTGATGCGGATCCCACAAAACACATGCGTATTCAAGTGTGAGTCTTACTGAACAGCAATAGGCAGCCTCTTCTAGTTTCTGTGGAGCACCGCGTAAATTTCGAATAAGAAAATTTAAAGTGCGGCTGGCTTTCTTAGCAGTTTCAGTGACATGAACATTAAAAGAAAAGGTGCTTGACAAAGTAATCCCCAAATATTTAACATCAGTGTTATTACTTAATCTATAATCATCAATAAAATAGCATGATGGGACAAGCTTACGTTTCCTCCCAAAAGTGACTTGACCACACTTTTCCACATTTAAGCCCAACTTCCAAATCCTGCACCAATCCGATATTTTATCTAGGTCCGATTGCAAAAAAAGCTGAATTACCAACGCTGTCTACCCTGCTGTACAAAACGCAATCGTCCTCAAACAGCCTTATGGGCGAGTTAATGGTCGATGATGTATCATTAATAGATACAACAAATAAAAGGGTTCCCAGCACTGAACCCTGCGGCACGCCAGGAGTCACATCAACAAGATCTGAGCTTGCACCGTTTATGACGACACACTGCTTTCTCCCAGAAAGGTAATTTTCAATCCAACGGTATATGTTTTCATCAAGGCTAAGGGAGCTCAGTTTGTGTAGCAGCAAAGGGTGAGACACTTTATCTAAAGCCTTGCGTAAATCAAGATGGCGTGCGTTTCTTCTCTCCCATCAGCAGTTGAAACCAAGTCATGATAAAGTTCTACAAGCTGTGGGGCGCACGAGAGACTCTTTCTAAAACCATGTTGAGTAGAAGAGAAATATCTATTTGTATTGAAATGCCTCACAACATTACTGTAAACAATATTAAAATCTTGCAACATATGCAGCTCAGTGATATGGGGCGATAATTCTCTATATTGTGTTTTTATCCGTGCTTATGGATTGGCGTAACACAAATCATCTTCCATTGACCTGGGAGTACACTTTGTTTTAGCGATTTACAAAGAGTAATCCCTAAGTAGCGAGACACAACAAATGAGCATATATATAAAACTCTCGGTGACAAACCATCGGGACCTACAGCCTTTTTAATATCAAGCTCATCTAAGCATTTCTTTATCCCTTCTACACTGATGACGACCAGAGGCCTTTGATTCACAATTTGTTCATTGAGAGGGGTGTAAGAATGAGTTCTGACGATGGAGGCAAAAATAGACTAGATTAAAACAGCTTGATTTTTTGTAACTTTCTTCAATTACCTTCCCAAGGTATAATATATTTGGAATTTCTATATTCTCCTTACGCGTCTTTCTGAGGTATTTCCAAAATTCTTTGCTACTAAGTTGCATGCTTTCGGAAAGTTTATCAAAATACTCGCGTTTTGCAGTGGTAATAGCTTCCTTATAGGTTACATTCAGTTTCTCTGGCTCTGCGGCTGCCGATTTGCATGGGTGTAATTTATAATTTTTATACCCACGTCTGCTCTTTTTTATCACCTCTTTTACGGCAGCTGTCATCCAGGGCTTGTCATTCATTGCTTTTGCACGTATTATTTTAACGGGAACGTATTTTCCTATGAATTCCTACAAACGATTTTTAAAAAGTTCCACATAGCGTCTACACTGTTTTCTAGAGCGAAAAGTTCAAAATCTTCGAAAAATTCAGTCAGCCCTTTCTCTATAGCGTCAAAATTACCTTTATCGCACATTAAGACTTGTCTGACATTATCCTGGGCACGGAAAAGCTGAGGAAACGTCAAGCTGGTAGTGACTATCTTGTAGTTGCTAATTCCTGGTAGGACGGCTAAAGAATGAACTATTTCACTATTACACAACAGTAGATCCAGTATATCTTCGCCTCTAATTTGGACCTGGACAAATTGCTCGAAACCATAAGTTGTCAAAATATCTTCAAATTCAGCATAGACAGCTCCACTTGGCACAGTGGTGTCATCACCTTGCCATTTTAGCTCTGGGAGATTAAAATCTCCAGCAAGAAATATCTGCTCATCAGGTGAGACAGAAACAACATCGTTCAAAGCCTGAAGGGTCTCGAGACCGGTTCCAGGGGGACGGTAGAAGACCCCAATAGCCATATCTTCTTTATTAGGGGTTCGTATCCGGCACCATATCGTTTCAACTTGTTCTGTTCCCACATAAATGATCACGCTGTTTAGTGACTTGCTAACTAAGAGGTTGATGAATCATGCAGATAGTATGTGTGCACGTATGGCTTGTTTAAAGATATAGAATGATGACATGGCAGTTAGGCAGGGTGGTAGAGAGCTCCACGTTTTAGTAGCAATGTAAATGAAGGTGAACGCACCATAATTAGTTCGTATGCATGGTACAGACAGTGACGCTTGTGAATGTGAACGTAGAGGATACCATGACATCTTGATGTGTAAAACTAATTAAAGAGCATGTTATCTGATTGGTGATGAACTTAAATGTTAATAATGCTACACGATAATCGAGGCATTGATTAACTGTTAAAATGTTGAGGAAGCGGTACGCAAATTGAGCACTTTCGCGCCTATTAACAAACAGCATTGCTCGTAGTGCCGTGTTCTGGGCGATTTCTATAGGTTTTAGTGTTGTTTTATATGTCAATTCATAAATGGATAACCCGTACAAATTGTGAGTATGAATGAAGCTATGATAAAGCATTGGGAGGGTTCGTAAGGAAAATATGTGCCGTAGTTTATATAGAATTGGTATATTTCGATATATCTTATTAGTTGTGTCTTCTACGTGTTGGCGCCATGTTAACTGATGATCAAGTGATAGTCCTAAAAATTTAGTATGGTACACTCGAGTTAGGTTAATAGTTGTAAACGAAAGCTGAGGTGTGTTTAAAATTAGTTTGTTTTTCGGGGCAAAAATTATGTAGTTTGTTTTCGCTATATTGGGAACTAATTTGTTATGGGTTAGCCATTTAGCTAGCTTTTCTAAAGTGTTATTATCTTCCATGTATAATTCTGCCGCGCCTGCATTAGATATAAAAATATTTGTATCGACGGCATAAAGAACACAATCTTTTTGTAAATAGGCTGCCAGGTCATTAATATTATATATTAAAAAAAGAAAGGGACCTAATATTGAGTTTTGCGGAACACCGATGGTAATAGGTTTAGTTGTTGAAATAGTGCCATTTAAAGTGACAATTTGGCATCTGTTTGATAGATAACTTTCTATTAGATTGAGAGCAACACCACGAACCCCGTAAGCACTTAATTTCTGTAGTAAAAGTTCATGGTTAATTAGGTCAAACGCTTTTGTTAGGTCTACAAAGATTCCCATTGTTATTAACTTCATTTCAATAGTTAGTAGAACAAATTCTCCAGGTATTCTTTTAAGACCATCTTTTTTTTCTTATTTTTAGTGTACTATTGAGTACAAATGAATGAATGAATAAATTTATTGCATCAGGGTGGCTCTGTGGCTGGTGTGGGGAGAGGGGAAGAACGGTGGGGGCAGTCTGAAGTTCATGTTCTGCTGACAAGGTGAACCTCCTTGGCAAAGTTCCACAATGCAAGCAGCGTTGCGCTGGCGTGGTCATTGGGATATATCCATTCGTGGAGTGTCTGAACTCCTGGTGGCTTGTGCTTGTTGCGAATGGCTGCGAGAGCCGGGCAGGACCATAGTAGATGAATGACCGTTGGCGGTTCCTGTCGACACTGCTCACAAAGTAGTAGAGCCGAGGGGATCTGCGTCGTTTTGTGTTGCTTGTATTATTCCCATCTTGTGATGATGTCTTCAGTAAGGACCAATCCGGAACGGGCTTTGGTAAGGAGGACTTGTGCCCCTATCGAGCACAAATGAAATGCGAACAGCGGAGCGCGTGGCCGTCTACACATGCTGAGCCGCCTGGAGGCCTCTGGAAACTGATAAAACTGTAGGGTGGAGAATAGGGCGCTGAGAGGGTGTACGTCCTACTCCGATAGTTTATACTCTTTTGAACCCTATAGTACCTCCTAAAGAAGGCAGGCACGAGATTTATCATTTTTGACGAATGTCTCCACGGCTTCACTAAATGTCCAAAACTAACCTCTGGTGTTTCAATTTGTGTACCTAACAGTAGTGCTCTGCAATTTTATCGTGCATTCGGTTGTTCAGAGTATAAAAGCATAAGACCTCTGGATCATATCCAGCATGCGATTAATATGTAGGCTGTGATCTACACGCCTGATGTAGATATATTTTTGCAGAAAGAGGTCACCATTCAATTTCTGCTAAAACGCTTTGTGTTTATGTTTTTTAGCCAGTCCATTTATGTAGAAAGACGCTGTGTGAACCTTTCGTTTTTAAAACTTTCTTGTCTCAGCATTATATTCAGACCGTATGTAACTGCGAGAACTGTTTTATCGACTATGGTGTGTTCAATTTACTTTTCTATTGACAACACATTTTTAACAAGCTTCACAAATTCTGCCAGCAATGCTTTTTTTCGGCTACCTTGTGTACATTATTTTCTTAATTTACAATGACCTTGTATTGTTTCTTCAACAAACGTTCAGCATCAATGTGATATGTGTTTGACAATCAGTGCACACTTCCATAAGCCCACGGGCTGTTTAAAAGCACCAATAAAAGTCAAATAAATAAATTCCTTTCATAGCTAGAGTGCAACTCTTTAAAAGTCATTGGCGAGAGCTCGTAGCTTTATATAGCGTTTTATTTGCCCAGGCTCTCATACAAATGACACGCTTGATAAGGTCACGCACTCGCTCCAGTGGCGTTCGCCATGTATGAGACGAAGTGTAATCGTATGCGTCAGTCATAAATGCGTAGAGCATTGCACCTTCTTGCACCGGTTGTGAACGGCCCACACGGTTTGTAACGAGGGCCGGTGGGACAATGGCGTCACATTGCATCTTTATCTGGGAGCCCATCGCAACGCCTTTACGACACCATATCCCAGGGCCACAAAATAAAAGCTCGGGCCTCTGATAGCGGCAGTTCATGCTCTCGACGAGAACCCCGAGGGACTAACCAAAACAGGTGAGCAGTGCTTGAGCTCTTTATGTTTAACGTTCTCAGGGCCACTGGGGAATATCCGACAAAACAGAATATACCACAAAGTGTCCTTATGTGCTCTATATTATAGGCATAGTTTGTAAACACGATATGCTAACCTTTTTACTAGGAAAAGTTAACGAATAACGGCTACATTTGAAACGACAACTTCGATAGGTCAGAAATCGTGTAAAGGTAAACAATTATACTTGTGTTTTCGAAGCGTTAAGCTGCTTTTTTTTATTACGTGCTAAGCCACGTAAGAAATATAACGGAGATATTTTTGCATGCTACACATCTTCACGCCAGAGTGATATATCTCAGGTCCATTCATCGTGTAACCTTATGTTGACATGCTCGCAGAAAACGGGTATAAAGTTATATTTTGACGAGTCAAAAGAACACAGTATGCAGCCATGTTGAATAACCTGAGAACCTGAGAAGCTGAAAGAACCAGATCCTGAGAACCATAACCATTCACCAGCTCGCCTGGACCCTTACTACTATATAATAGTATGCAGGCTTAGGCACCGTGGAAAGAAAGATTGATTCCGCCTTTGTCTTTGCCAAATAGTATTTTTGTACTTATTGTTAACGTTCAGCAGATTTAGTTTAAGGTTTGCTTTTGTCAGATGAACTTTTATTTAGTAAATGTAAAGCTTTGAGGTAGAGGGAAAAATAAATATATGAAGGTTTTGGATAACTTGGTGTAAAGCTCTGATTTCACTTTAAATATTCGGGCATTATCAAAGAATACTAAATCAGCCCACTTTGCAAAAATATAAGCCACGTGAAGCACGCAGCAGCGTACCATAACAAATACACTCAATCTCGAGGTTATTTAAAGTTTAGATTGCATGTCAGAGCGCATATTTGCGCCAGTGGTACGGCTCTCTGTGGTCAAAGCGCCTGACTATCACCTCGCCTCTTTCGAAGAAAAGCAATACTGGTGGCGTGAGCTGGCCACTTGATAGGCTTTGCTGTTTTGAATTCCATGGCAAGTATTAGCTTCAATTTTCTATTGACATCCGTAATGCGAAGAATTCACGGCAGCACACGTAGGATGTGTGCTTTGGCGCCAGAGACCAGCACCGCTAGCGCAAAGGTGCGCTCGAATAAAGGCGCACAAACCTAGAATCAGCTTCAAATTAAATTTCGTTTCAAAACCCCGTAAAATTGTGCGCGCACTTTCGATTTGTGTAAAGTGTGCGGATTTAGTTATTTTTGACGATGTCCAAAATATTTCCTTTTGAAACTTGAAACTAAACACTTATATTCACTAATTATGACGTTAGTTACTGAAAAATATTTTATAAACTTACCATTCCGAGCCTCACTAGTTTTCCCTCAATAATTTCCTTGGCAGAGTCCAATACAACATCAACCTTTATTCTGTGAGATGTGTACTTTGTGAACCAACAATTTGGCTGCCTTTTCGGAAATCACCATGCACCTTCATAGAAGCAATACTTGATATTAATTCAACCTGTCACAACGAGGTTTGTCTTTATAGATCTCAGAATTTGCGTCTGTCGCAAATAATTTTATATTTGAATGCAAATGTTTTTCCATTAAGATGTCTAAATTTTATCGAAGTTCTCTTTAGACAATGATTAGGCTGCCTCAGCGAACTAAAAAAAGATGCTCTAAAGTTACCAATACTCATAAAAAGGGCTTAATAATTAGTTCTCTCAGCTTCAGATTTTTCAGACCTAAATAAATAAAATGTGGCGTTAATTTTTTATCGCAAATGTGCTGATGGATTGACGTTACTTCACTGTTTGCAATATTGTCACATTTGCAAGGGTATTGAAGACAAGCTCTAATTGGTGCTCTTTATTTTGAAACATATCTTTTGTCATCGGGTCCACGGCTGAATATGATTGAAGTCCCCAGGTTAACTTCTGACCCGGTACGCATAAACATAATATTTCTTAAATCAAATATCGTCGTTGACTACAAGTCTCATGGTCATATAAAATTAATCAAAATTCATTCCGTACTTCCTTTTTTTTTCAGTGAAAAGCTTTAGTTGCGGTTATAAATATACATTAATCTTGAACCTACATTGAGTTTCTTTTGACTCAGACAGAGATTACGAATGTCTCGTACCATGCATCTGAAATGCTTGGGTCGAAATTTGGATTTTGTCCACCTTAAAATGCCAGGAGAAGCAGAGGTAGAGCCAAAAATGACCTTCTTAGTTGGAAGTCTGAATATCTTGGCCTCAATTCGCCAAACGCGAGCAAAAGGTGAGGCTTCACAGGGGGTAGTTTGGCTGTCATCTGGCATCTGTGGTCCTACATCGCCAGACAAGTGCCAGAGTTAGCCTTCACTTCTGGTTGTTCGCTTCTCGAGCGGCAACGTTGGGCCTTAATTCCCAAAACAACTGCCAGATTCCGGCTTCACTGCTTGTTTAATGGTTGCAAAGAATCTTTGGCTCATTTTCGGCCCTTTGGCGATTTAGGTGTCCATGGAAAAAAATGCCACAGGAGCGCAATATAAAAGTACTCTGGTACTAACCAACTCCTTCGAGCAAAACCTTATTAGGCCCAAGTTAGGCCCTGAGGACTGCCAACCTTGTGCCCAGTTAGGTCCTTCTCTGGCGCGGTGCCTGGGGTTAATCGTTCTTACTCAGAAGCTATTTCGGTGGGGTAGAGCGAGTCACTGGCTCCCGGATGTTATCAACGCACCTGTATGACGTCAGCTAAATTGTGTTCAAGCTTTATGGCTGGCGGAAAGGAGTGAGCAAGATTTGCGTTATCTAGGCTTTGCTTCCCGGATGCGCAGATCCTTCTGAAGATACGAAAGAAATTTACTGCGCAAACTTTGTCTGATTGGAGACTCCACCGGAGGAGATTCGCGTCCGAGCGGACCGAGCTGACGTAAGACAGGGATTAACAAAGCGACTGGGCTTACGCCCGCTCTGCTAATCCTTGCGCTTCAGTTTTACACGTAAATTTTGAAGTGTAGAGATCGGGTTCTCCTTCAATAATATTGCAATCGGGGTTCTACCCTGACAATACTTTCTGATTGAGTGAGTGCTCACTGAGGAATTGTTCGCAGGGCGTAATCACGCGAAAGTGAGCTTTTTATGAAGAAATACTCAATATCCACAGAAGTGTTTATATGCAAGGAAGAAATGAAAAAGCAAAAATAATGAAAAGAACGTAACAACATCGCTTATGTTTTTCTTGCACGGAGAACTTTAGTTGGAGAGCTGCAAGAAGTAATATTTTAATATAATAAGTAAAGATCAGGTTGATTGCGCAGGCGACCTCGTGAGCAATCATACTGACATACCACGAGGACGAGGGAACACAAAAAGGGGACAAGCATAGCACCGTCTCCTCCGTATTTCAGGCGTGGTATGTGTGTCTTCTTCTGGGCGTCACCTCGTCTTCTGGGCTTCTCTGTGAAAGTAAAAAGTAGATACTATTAGGGCAAACCTAAAATAACATATTTACAGATTTACGGAGTGATTGCGCTATCGTTACTCGTCATGTAGCCATGCATTAATTATTATTCGTGACAATAAATAAACCACTTTAAACTTCGTGTCACCATATAAAATGGAGCACATACATAGCTACGGGTGGCCAGGTCCACTCACCATGGAAGCAACGTGGTACATTATGTCGTCGTACGTATAACTGCCCTTCCAGATACAGACGTCCGAGCGATATACCACGTGGTTCCTAGTTGGCTCGTAATTGAGTCTGGCTGCCCGTAGCTTTGGCTGTGGTACAACTTCAAGGTAAATAGAGAAGTATTGTAAGCAGGGCTCGTACGCAACATCGAAAAAAATCATCAGCTCCTGGTAACAGGTGTGACAAATGACCTTATCGAATGAGATGAATTTATTAGAACAAGACAAATAAAAATAAATAATGTAGTGTGAATTACTGGATTATACGATAAAGTTTACAAGGTAATTTACTTAGCCTTTGTGCTTCACATTGTCGCCGCTGCGTGCGTAATCTTGCGGATGCTTGTGCTTTGAAGGCTGCTTGTAATTCGGGGTACTGTATAGAGCTGAAAGGCCCTCAGACGGTCCATGATGTATTAATATTACTTCACTGGGGCGTCAGCAGTATTTTGATAGCTTGGCATGTAAACGAAAATACATATAGCGAGACTTTTTGTCGGGCTACTTGATTCATGGCACATATTAAACTTGTATGTAAAAACAAAGAGGGTGAACACGGAGTGGACAAGGACAAGGGAAACTTTCAACTAGTTTTATTTGCTGGCAAGCGCCCGCGAATAGTTCAGGATAAGCATGCGCAGCAGGTTACAAACGAAGAAAATAATCTACAAAAACATAAAAAAGCAAGAAAAAAGTCCCAGCGTGTCAAAACAACGCCTTCTAAATAAGCAAGCCTAAGTGCTGGATTTTCCAGCGTCACTTAAAGGGCCCCTGAAAGGAAAAATGATGTTTTTTTTAACAGTCTGGTTGGGACACGAGAATTGAGAAATAAAGTTTACGCTACATCGGCCATACTGGACGGTGCCTCAACGATCGACTTCGCGAACGCCACAATAACATTGCTTGAGCCAACTCAGAACGTTTGGGTCTGCAGTGCCGGGGTTGCGGGTGTGCAGCACAACTACGTAGTTGCATTGTGCTTGACCGAAGCAACAATCAGCTAACAAAAGAAATAATTGAAGCGAAGCTTCAATTATTTCTTTTGTTAGCTCGACGATGGATGCGTGAGCTGCCCATCTATCACCTTATCTGCAAAAGAATTCCCTTACCTTACTTAAAATGAAAATCGCGGACCATTTTACGAATTTGTTTTAATAGGCGGAGAGAGAAAAAAGTGATACAAGTACCACATTTTGTTTTAACAATAAGAAGAAAACGAAGACAAAATACAGGAGCTGTGGGCTCAGCGCTGGGCGTATGTTCTGTCTGTAATTCAGTGAGTGCCTGCTTTTGTGAGACATTTATTCCCTGTGAAGTACTAAAATCCGTTATATTGTTACATTTTTGTAACGAAACGGCAGGATTCAAGCTTTCTACTATCGTGTACTCGTTTTATTTTGGCCCACTAAATGGTATGCGATTAGTAAAATCCCAATTTACTCTAGCCGAAAATTCATTTCATACACCTTTAGAGTTTTTCAAGGTGTAGTTCAGAACCCATCGTATATTAGTAACATTTCAATTTGATACATAGTGTAGGTAAACAAGAGAGACAAGTTAGTACGAACCCATTGTTGTTTTGTCAGTTAAAATATACTGAAAATACCACGGGGAAGTAAAATTCAAATCAAAATATGCCCAATATCACAAATTAAAATATAAACAAAATACTTTTGGTATTTTAACACACACGCTGTTTCTTAAGACTGCGTCAAGAACAAAATTAATTCTTAGGACCAAAACGCCCCTACCTGTCGGTTATAAAGGGATACCAATGATGTCTACAACAGACCTTTCCATATTACACGTTTTCCATTATGTGGAAGGATTTCATCGTAACCTACACAAAACTAACGGTCATTCCGCTTCACGCATTCGGATTTATTCTTAGGTTTTCATCGTACGTAAGTTTTCCGCAATAGCATGAACAATACATATCTATCGAGCACATTGTTTCAGCAGCGGTGCGTTAAATCACAAAAACAAAGCAAAGCAAACCGGAAGAAAAATTTAGCTTCGTCACGGGGTCTCGGACCCCTACGTAACAATCGAGCAATCGCAGCGCTCCAATTGGTCCCAATCGAAGCCATTCGAAGAAACGTCTGGTCACAAAACACAAACTATCATGGCTTTTCTTGCCCCATCTTCGACGACAACCTGTGGAGTGTATTCTTAGAGATTCCTTGCTTAGGATGCAATTTGATAATGCCTACTGTTGTTGAGCTACGTCGGTAATTGCGCTTTTATGCCATGTGAAAAATAAGGCACGATATGTGTGACATTGTTGACGGACAAATTGTCAGTTTGTATACAACCGCGGAGGTACTAAAGAAGCTGTCCAAGTCTGAAATGGATTAAAAAAAAACTCATTTGTCCCTATAATGCGAATACGTACAAGGGCTTGCATCTTATATTGGAATGCTGTTAAAACATCCCAGAATACAGGTAGGAATATTGGCACAATGAAGTCACTATTTCCGCTAAGTACCATCTCTTCTACTGTCCAATCAATCTGGAACTTATCACGCCAACTTCTGTACATAGTTTGCTCAGCACACTGTAAAGCTTCGATACTGCGATGATTGCGCTCGATAGCCTTGCATCTCCCAGAATATTTTATTTGTATTAGTTCTAGAATGTTTTTCTTTTTTAAAGCAATAACCTATGATACTCAAACCAGAACCAAGTAGTTCGTTAAGAAAGACACTTGCACGAGTGCCACCAAATATATTGTTTTGTCTGCTTCCGTGACATGACAGCAGTTACGTCGAATAACATTTTCCTCCAAACGTTCAGTGACTGGATTGACGAAGCTATCTTTATTGGCATAAACGATTGCACACAATAAAGGTGGACAGTTAGGAAACGATCATAATATTAAAGAAACATTTACGTGTCATTCTGTTAATGTTTGTGCTGTGAGAAAATTGTGAATTATCTTCGCGTTTATTTTTTCAGTATTTGTTTTAAGAAACGCTATGTTGTTTTATCGCTCACTTTGACTGTTTTGACTTTTCTGGGGAGCAAATTGAAGAAAAAAATCTTAACTTCTTTGTTTGCAAAATTTTAAATTTTGCAGTTCGAAACCACATTTTTCATTAGCTTTGATTACAAAATGCCTTGATTCATAACGCCAACCTGCATGCCAGTAGCAAGGATTTGCTGATAAAGGATTATTCTACTCATTATTTGTCACTATTTAATGGAATAATCAGGTAAGATATTTTTAAATGTTATAGGCTAAAGGTACTGCGGATAGCTCTCGTGGTCAACTACATGCATCATCGATGTGAATGCGCATTAATCTCATAATTCACGTTACAAATATGAGACAGTAAAACGATGTGCCAATAAATATGCATTGTGTGCTATATGAGTACATATATAAAAAATTCATGCTAAGACAGTTTCACAACCTTCGCTTCTAGAGCAACCCGGATCAAAGACTCTTGTTGCTTTACAGGAGGATGCAAGCGCTCACACTCGCCTTGGCCGTCGCCTGTACAGCACTGCTGCAGCAATCCCAGGTTCAGGGTCGGTTCTGGGGCTGCCCGCCGGTGGATCTTAAAGATGACAACGTTACCTACATACCCAACCCGTTCAACTGCTCCACTTTCTTCCAATGTGTGCAGGTGAGGCGACGTGATCAGCAGATCAGTAAACAACATTCGAAGCAATATCTCCAGACAACAAGGCAAAAGTGCAAACCAGGTTGCAGAGACAGCTCATGATGCACAATTTGGCCGTCAGAAATGCCCTTCGATTCCCTTGGTTAGTTTTTTGACAATGCTTAGATTTCGCAGGATTTTCTTATTTTTTATAATTACCATAATCAGGTTTTATTCTGAACACGATAGAACAGAGCAAACTACACCATTTATTGTTCAGTCGCCAACATCACTGCCTCCGGTTACTGCGAATGTTTATAAAGCAATAAATCAGACAGTGACTGAAATTTTATTAAAACATAATAAACATAGGCAGCAGTCTGCTTCGGTGACGTAATTCAACGCCCTAAGCTGTGGCTTCAAGGCGGCCTAAATATGCTGAATGTGTTTTTTTTTTTTTATTTGTTTAATTAAAGTATCCTGTTGCCTGAAAGTTATTATAACAAACATTAGAGACATTTTGTAAAAACACATTGAGGTCATAAAGGGGTCGAAATACAAAAATCATGCCAGTTAATGTGTTATTTATACAACATTCTGTATGCTGGTGTCCGAAATAACTTGCGCAAAACTTCCAATAAATTGAGTGCTCTGCGGAAGTGAAATTATCTGTACGGTGTTAGCAAACGTCTTCCGAAAGCTCGCGAAATGTTTTGGTGTGCCTAGTTATTTTTTTAGTTACGACTATTTAGAAAACAATTTAATAATTCATTTAAGGATCGAGGTATGTATTGGAAAGCCATAGAGAGCATTGAGAAATACACAATTAAGGGGTTTCTGCATGATACGCTTTGCGCGATTCTTTTTTAGGCTAAATAGAATGCCCGCGAAATATGAAAAAAGACCATATGACAACGCGTCTACGCGTTGCCCTTGCAGGGTTCGTAGACGTGATCTGAAGGAACGGAGTCCACCTTATCACTGGCGAGCCGTCCGAGACAGGGTTTCGTGTTGGTGTAGGAACCTAACATAAGCGCGAGCACCAGCTTCCGCAAAGCCCTGTCTAGGACAGTGCGACAGCGATAAAGTAAACATCGATCCTTCAGAGCACATCTAAAGGCCCGGTCACACTGAGGCCACACAACGGCAACAGGAGCAGCAGGACATGTTGTCCAAGAGTCGGGCAACTTGTTGCTTGCTCCCAGTGTTGTTCGACATCCCTGTCACCTTGCGGCAAAAGCAACACAAAATGGAGGACAACGAAAGTGTGGCCTCGGTATGACAGCTTTCGGCAACAAAAACAGCAGCAACTTGTCTTGGGCAACGTGGCTGGCTGGGCGAATTCCGGGCCGGCGACGCGACAGCACAGATAGATCCGATGGCATAGCTAGTTCCCTATCAATGTCTCTTTTGAGATATTACTCAAATAAATGTCTAGAAACCATTATTTGAAATTATTTAAGGCTGGCATGGAGCTGAAATATTTCGATGAATGTTTTTACTGCATAATTACGGAAAGCGATTGTCGACATGGTCACAGCTACGGTCGTGAACGTTTAGACTGGTGTTGAAATTGTAACTGCCGAGAGACCTGCTAACACTAGTGCTAGTGAAATAAAATAGCATGCCTACTCACCCGCTGATAAAGTATAATGAAAACAATTCATGGATGCAAAGATTAAAAATTGATGCATTAAAACGGCGGCTCTGATCATTATTCTTGATTCTTGGAACTTGGAAACAGCCTCTACCAGACGCCTGAATTGATTCAAAAATCCCTAGGCCGTTTCGGGGAATGAAACGGTCACATAACAAGGTGTAGGCAAATTGACACCGCTGAAAAATATGTATTCCAACGATTGTTATGAAGGCCAGTCAACTTCAACTTCAACTTCAACTTTATTGTTTTTCTCCAGGGGAGAGGGGGAGGAAGAAAAAAAGCAGACTTGTCGCTTGACAGAGTTTCTCCTCCCCACCAGCAACAAGAGAAAACTATTTCACAAACTAGTGACCCGTAAAACAAGGTTTAGATAGGATAAAAAACACGGCATTAAACAAAAAACAAAAACAAGAAAAATCTGACGTACTTTACGAACATTTTTTGCAGGTCGGAGGTCCCATCAAGAATAGGCACAAATAACACTAGAGAAACAATGAACGAATATCCTTTCTGCTCATACCCTTCAAGTCCGTGCCCAGCCTATGTGTACTATTTATAACGTTAGTCAACGAGTACTGCAACATCTGGAGGCCGTAGCCTGTTCTCGAGTGAGGCGTTAACCATGCGTCAACACAACGGCCTCCATATGCACGCATTCTCCGCTTCATATTGGCGATTGAGAGAAAAACAAGTTGATTTTGCCTTACAGACGTTGGATATGTTAAAAGAAGCTTATAATTATAATGCTCTGTAATTGGAACTGTATGAAGGTTTTTGAAAAGTTATAATGTGTGAAGCGTTGAACTCCGCATTGCATATAATTCGAATTATTCTCTTCTGGAGAACGTGCAAGTGATGCATATTTGTAGTCCCTGTGCTACCCCAAACAAGGAAGCAGTAATTATAGCAAGAGTAAAAGAGGGAGATATAAGGAAGAATTAAGACCGAGAGGGGTAATATATGACGGGATTCATAAATAATGCCCACAACTTTTCAAAGTCTGCCAGCTATGCATTGTACTTCGGCGTCCCAGCTCAGGTACTCATTAAATATCACACCAAGAACCTTCACATTTTGTACAAAGTCAATATTTCGCCCTTGGAGAGAAAGCCCTTGAGTAGATGAACACACTCTATTTTCGGATCGAAAAAGTATTGCGTTCGTCTTATCTATATTAATTACTAGAGAGTTTGAGATTGTCCACTCACTGATCTTCTGGGAAACGCTATTTGCCCAACATAAAACTTGGTGCACAACTTTCCCCGGAAAGAATAAATTGGTGTCGTCTGCGCAAATGATAAAATCTGCACTGTCGTTTATATTTACTATATCATTGATGTATAAGTTAAACAGAAGGGGTCCAAGGATGCTCCCCTGTGGCACCCATGACGTTAGTTTCCTTAAGCTAGAGCGCTGGCTATAGATCACGACACACTGATGCCGATATTTAAAAAAAAAACTCTCGCTCATTGTTGAGGCTACTCCTTGCACCCCGTATGCCTTTAATTTTTGAAGCAGAATTTTATGATATAGACGGTCGAAAGCCTTTGAAAAATCAATAAAGACCCCCAAGGTAATCCATTTTCTTTCGATGTTGTTTAAAATTAGTTCTTTCTGTTTTAATAGCGCGAGTTCCGTCGAATGCCCCTTCCTAAAACCAAACTGACAAGATGTTAGGATAGAGTGTTTTTCGCAGAAGGTGTATAATCTGGCATGTATTATTTTTTCTAGCCCCTTTGAAAACACTGAGAGCACAGAAACAGGTCTATAATTTTCCAGGTGGTTTTTATCCCCAGACTTGAAAATAACCGTAATCTTTGCAACTTGCATTTTTCTAAGAAAAGGGCCATTTTGAAGTGCCAAATTTGAAATATGTGCTAAAAGAAGAGTGATTGATATAATTACGTGTTTCAGAGGTTTGACTTGAACACTATCTATGTCAGTACTTTCGCTATTTCCAGGGTTCATAAAAACTGATGCCACTTCCTCCGCGTCGGTGGGGCAAGAAAAGGTGTGTCAGGGACACCTTTCACAAATGTAAATTCATCGGCATCGTTACCATTCTTTAAAATGTTTACGAAATAGTCATTAAATATTTCAGCCAACGTCAAACCACCTCTCGTCTCCCCGTCGATGTTAAGCTTCATTGCTGTAGATTCGAAAGGGCCACGCCGCAGAAGCTTCTTCCATATAATATATATTCGTCGCTCATTTTCAAACGCAGCATAAAAATACGTACGCTTAGCCTTACGTAACGCGCTTGTAACATCATTTCGCTGCTTTTTAAATAACGCCAGCACACCTGGTTTTCTGGATTTAATGAATTTGGTGTAGAGAGCGTCTTTTTTTACTCCTCATTTTGATTATCTCCTTAGTCGTACCCAAGGCTTCCGATCCTTCCTGTGGGCAAGTTGTTTTTTTGTACGCGAAACTCTCATCATATAGCTTTGTAAAAATCCCAATAAAGTAATCACATGCCTCGTCAGCTGAAACACTCGAAAACACCGTGCTCCAATCAGTACGGAAAATCTCAGCTTCAAATGCATCTAGATTTTCTGCAGTGATATTTTGATAATAAACTGGGCAGTCATCTCCATCCCTCTGTATCCCGACCATCGAGTTGACAAGCATATAATTTGGTAGGTGGTCACTTATCGCGGTTCCAACGACACCTCCGGACACGTGAGATTCGTCGGCATTCGTTAGAAACAAATCAAGTAATGTCTCTTTCAAAGGAGTTATTCGCGTGGGTTTAGAGATTGGGTTAAAGTATCCGTACGACTGATATAAGGAGAAAAACTCTAGCTGGCTCGATGATGAAGAGAGCATATCAAGATTTAAGTCTCCACCCAAGAACAACCAAGAACAAAGTGAGATTATTTTCACCAATAAAATCAAACAAGTCAGCAATGAACTTTAGGAAACAAGAAATATCACCATTCGGAGGGCGATATATTACGCAGTACACGCACTTCGAATGTTTGACCGTTAAAACTTCATAATCGCGTTGCACTGTCGTGAAGTCGCTAATTTCGGTGCAGTTAAGATTAGTTTTTACATACATACAAACACCGCCTCCTCGCGGTGAAGAGCGGTTTACGGAGTAGGTTTTGTATGGTTCTAAAGTTGGAACATCAGTTTTCGCGTCAGCCCACGTTTCAGTCAACATAATTACATCAAAAAGAAATTTGAAACCTTCTAAAAGGATGCTTAGGTCATCATGCTTATTTCGAATGGATCTGTGCGTTTAAATGAAAAAAACTAAAAGGCCCACTTGAGCGGTTCGTATACAGTTTTCCCACCTCACTGGGCAGAAGATAAGCATTGCTGTTGTTATAAGACATAAAAAAGAGGTGAAAAAAATTTACCCCCGATAATAAGGTAATGCCGAAACACAGCTAGCAGGGGCACTTTATGCTTACCCCGTCAACAGGGATGGCCCCGCTCGCGGTGTCTGTAATGGCTGCTATTTTGGTGAGGTCCATGATCGTAAGGCACGAGTAGGGAAGCCAGAGGTCGCTGTCTTCTTGTTTAGCACTGTCAGTTTAGCACAGTACTACGCTACAAAAAACGCTTTACGGAACTTACGGTGCTTACTCAATTTTACAGCAGAAATAGGAATTGAATGAAATCAAGAACGGAGCAGAAACAATTCATGCGGTGGCGTAAATTCCGAATATATCTCAGCGGTCTCACTTTCCTCGGCTAGGGCTATCTGCTTCATAAGCGAATGAAGAATATTTCGATCAAATGAAGGGTGTAAAATACTCCACGTGTCAAGGTTCCTAATCACAGTCATTGGTTGACGCCGTCCCGCGGTGATTTCTGGCCCTTCGAACGCACTGGCACATTGTTGAATGACATTTCCAGCGAGGCTGCGCCGCACGCGAACGAAGGTCAACAACTAAGGTAATGAAGTGTTCCCAGTGTTGGCCATCCCGTCAGTGCGATGCGACGGAGTATTCGGACAACAAATCGGCCAACACGGTTTCCGGGCGGCACCAACATGTTGTCTGGATGTTGTTGTTTCAGCGATGTGACAGGATTTCCGAAAACGCGTTTTCCTTATAGTGCCCGGTAGAGCAGTCCAACTGTTGCATCTGTGTTAAAGCCTGTCCAAACAGGATACTACAAAAGTCACGACTCCGGCAAATCGTGCCGCGCTCCGCTTCAGGCCGTCGGTGGGAAATTTCCCTCCGTCAAAGCTGCCGGGGGGAAACATCCCCCCGTCAAATCTGCCCCTCGTTTCCTCCACGGCGGCCTTGCTCTGCTCATCACGTAGGTCCGGAGAGCCACTCACACGCTCTGTTGGCTGTCGGTCAATCGCTCAAGGCCTCCGCTCACAATACGGAACCGCGTCGGACGCCATCACGACGAAAGTGAATCTCGACAAAGAAAGCAGATCCGAGGCGGGCGAAACGCACCCTTCGACGCAGGAATGTCCCAAATCCACCCGAAGCCGGACCCCCTTGGCCTTCGAGCCGAGGCGACAGCGGTACGCGAGGGCGTTGGCGAGGTGAGCCAGACGCAGGTGGCGTGTGACGTCAGAGAAAAGCGGAGGAGGCGAGGAGAGAAGTCGTGATCGTGGAAATTTTCACGACTCCTGCAACTATTTTCGCGACTCCGACAAATCGTAAAAATAGAAGCGTCCGCTTCCATTTTCACGATTTGTCGGGGTCGTGCGTTTTGTAGTGTCCTGTTTGGACACTTCTTAACAGGGCCTTAACAGCTGTACAAGCACGACACGCGCGCGCGTTGTCATGTATTTTTTTTTTATGCTTTTTTTTGGTTAAGAAAAGAAGCGCGCAAAGCATTTAATGTAGCAAACACCTTAATTGGGTGTTCTTCAATGCCCTCTACAACTTTCCAATTCACACCTCGGTCCTTAGACGAATAGTTAGAAAGTTATATAGTTAGCATTAATTAATTAAATAACAAGGCGCACTAAAAACATTTTGTGCACGTTGGTAAAACACATGTTAACAACACACAGCTGGTTTCACTCTTGCAAATTTAAGCGCTCCCTTTCTTTTAAATTTTGATACAAGTCATGTAGGAAATCATGAATAACATGGTGAGGCAGGTAATGATTTAAAATGTAAAATGCATCAATCTGCTCGCGTGTTAGTTTTGCGGTTTCAAATCAATATAAAATAAATAAACAGTTTAAAGACACTAAAAAGTTCATTAAAAAGTTCATTTTGTAAAGAAAAAAAAAATCCCGGTGAAACCTAGCCAAGAGAACAGACCCAAAAGTCAAAGACTGCTGTCTCAACTAAATTGTGGTCGTTTGCGACAAACGTATGTGATTTTAAAGCCCCGGTAACTGTATAAGTTAAGATTGTAATGTTAATAAAATTTATCTGGATACAAAGCGCGGCTGTCGATACAGTGACTTCACCAGCGCCCCTCCCCCTCCCTCCTTTCTGTCCGGGTCAGGTGAAGGCTTAACCGGTAAAGTTATAAACGAACCCGTGTTTGGAAACCAGTCCGTTTGCTCTGGCCGTACGTTAGCGGTGCAGTGTATGGGTGATAAGGTGTGGGCAAAAAGCGCTGCGTCTTGCATGGACGAATTAATGAAAGGCGATATTCGGCGTACATGTAAATCTGCAAGATTGTTTTCCCTTTTTTTTTTATTTGGGGGGGGGGGGAGGTGTACAATTTAGTTCTACATCTTCTTCGCAAATGTTTTCTAGTTCAGTCGATCAATAAAAATGAACAAGGCTCTTTGCACTACAAAACTTTGCTTGAATAATCTTACACGCGGCGATTCATTGCGCACGGTGGCCGCAGAATTGAAACTAAATCGTGATTCACATGATGAGATTTTGCTCACTAAATCATAAATTACGACGTCGCTGTGTACGCAACAAAAAAAAGCGCAGAGAGAGCGGCGATGCTCAACGTCGGAACTGAAAATTAGACGTAGAATCAAACCATTTAAACCAGACAGAGCAAGTCGGCCATCGCCACCGCTTAGTGTAGACAGCATTATCTTGATCATACTGTTTATGCCAAGCCGATTTACTCAAAACGCACTAAGAATTTACGAGCCTCTAGAGGCCTAGGATTGCTTCTTATCGGAAGTACTGTGTTGACGGCGCTCATAACCTTGACATGGTCTGCGGGCTGTTTAGCGTGGTCGACGTGAAGGCTGTCGTTCGAATTTGAAGACGCATTGAGCGTGGTCCGGAAGTCTGGAACACTTGATAATTATACGACCTTCATAATGAAACAATTGAAATTCATCTTACGGTAACAATTCTTTGTGAATTCACCCCAAAGTTCATCCTCACCAGGCGACCGTGGTCGGACGGCGTCCAGTTTTTCTTTTTCACAGAACTTTTTCCATTTCTACGACATATCGGGCAAAGAGGAAGCACGTGAAGACGGATCTTGACACATTCCCAAGTTATTTCAGTGCAGGCCTGGTCTACACAATAATAGGACGTTTTGACGAGAAGGCAGGTTTCTGCCTAAACAACATAAACTTTAAAACGTATTACACACTTAAGGGTGTAAATCGACTTCTTCCAGAGCTAACACCCAAAAGTGTTAAAGCAACACTGTTAGGATGGTAATGAACACCGAAACATTAGGATGCGCTAGATCTTAGCAGTATCCTGGGGATTGCATTTGACCAGCGGCAAGATTAAAAACAAGGAGCATCATATATTGTTTTTACAAAACAAAAAACGGGAAATACATACATAATGGATCCCGCACGAGAGAAGAATCATGACCCTGGTGTCTGCTCGAGAATGCAAATATACAAATTTGTATGCTTACCGCTTCGCAATTATGAAGTATATATATATGTTGCTTTGGCATCGCCAATATTTCATGTATTGCATTATGTATATCTAAGTTCATGGATGTATCTACAAGTATAAAGTATTGGCGGAGGGAAAAATTCGCCATCGTGCGAAACAAGCTCGGCCAAAGCGGGTATCAAGCATTACGAGCACCCTTCAAAAAGAGCATTCACCTCACTTCCCCGTATCATACTTCTCCACGCCCATTTTGCACCCCTCAAAAGAAAGGGTGTTCAATAAAACGACACCCTCTTCTACGATTAAGAAGAGTAGTTAGGTCAAAATGGTGATTTTGAACGGGTGAAGTCGTGGCTGTAATTATTTGGACTAACGCTTTTACACACTTAGGGGTGTAACATTCTTCAGTTTGTAGCAGTAGCCATCCCACACGAAGTGGTTTTTCTTTGTTTTTTGTTTTCTTCTTCACACCCCATACCGGAGGTGTGACCCAAAGGGCCACCGCCGTGGCATTAGGTATAAGATCTGAGTTGGTGTAAAGGAATCGTTTGTTCACGTGTCCTATAGAAAAAAAAAATAAGCACCTCGTAAGGAAATGGAGGGGGCTAACGACAATGTCATCGACACTTTCAAACAAGACGGCCATGCTGAATGGGCAGTCCTATGGTCAAGCGATCAAATTGAATATATTAATTAATAATTAATTAAACATGTTTAGTAAATAATCCACCCATTTCGCCTACACCTCCGATTTTGTTTTGCGTCACACGACCCCTTAAACAAATTCAGAGCAGTACCATAACATGTCGTAAATGTGAAAAACGACATGGAACATAACGTCGAGGAAAAGGAACACGGCTCAGTAGTGTTGACGATTGGGCTAGTTGGTCATTCATATTAGCGGAAAACAAACAAAACAAAACAAACAAACAATCTGTCCTTGTCCTTGCGCTGTTTGTTTTCCGGAACACGGCTACTCATTAAGGAACGCAAGTCATTTACTAATTAGAAAAAAACAAAATTATTGCATTTCTGAATAATCAGAAATAAAATGTACTTGAAGGCATTCCTAGTAGAACAAAGGCAAAATTCTTAGGCCAAATGCATATGCAACGTAAACACATGGATTTCATAGTGTTTACTTTTTCAGGGTACACCGGTGCTGATGGAGTGTCCACCGGGTCTGCATTTCAGCGAGTTATTAAACGTATGTGACTGGCAGTGGAGGGCACAATGCACTGAGTTGCCTCGTCCTCCCGCGATAAGACCTAGACCAAAGATCATAACACCCGAGGAAACAACAACAACTGCACCAGAACCTGAAGATGTTCAGACTGAAAAGATAATAATTAAGAAGGTTGTCAAGGAAATCATTAGGCCAACTGATCCGCAGACCACCTCTGAAACTGGTCATGTTTCTGAGCCACCAAAGGAACCCGCTGTTGAGCCTGTGAAAGAACCGGCTAAGGAACCCTCTATAGAACCCCCTGCAAAGCCCGAAAAAGAACCCGCTGGAGAACCTGCCGAAGAACCTGCCGCGGAACCGGCTGAGCGACCAGCCGCGGAGCCTGCCAAGCAACCGGCTGCTGAACCAGCTGAGGAACCCTCTGCCGAACCCGCTGCCGAGCCCGCTGCCGAACCCGCTGCTGAGCCAGCTGCAGAACCGGCCGCTGAGCCAGCTGCTGAACCTGCTTCTCAACCGGCTACTGAACCAGCTGTTGAACCAGCAGCTGAGCCAGCTTCCGAACCCGCTGGGGAACCCGCTGCTGAACCAGCTGTACCTACTGCTGAACCAGCTGCTGAACCGACCGCCGAACCCGCTGCTGAACCTGAAGAAGTTCAGACTGAAAAGATAATAATTAAGAAGGTTGTCAAGGAGATCGTTAGGCCAACTGATCCGCAGCCCACCTCTGAAACAGGTCATGTTTCTGAGCCAGTAAAAGAACCCACCGCTGAACCAGCTGCTGAAACCGCTGCAAAACCCGCTGCCGAACCTGCGGCCAAACCCGCGGCCGAACCCGCTGCCGAACCCGCTGCCAAACCCGCTGCCGAACCCGCTGCCGAACTCCCTGCTGAGCCGGCTGCTGAGCCAGCTGCTGAACCGGCCTCTAAACCAGCTTCTGAACAGGCTGCTGAACCCGCTGCCGAACCCGCTCCCGTACCCGCTGTGGAACCCGCCGTGGAACCCGCTGTGGAACCCGCTGCTATACCAGCTGCTGAACCAGCTGCTGAACCAGCTGCTGGACCAGCTGTTGAACCAGCCGCCGAACCCGCTGTTGAACCTGTTGCTAAACCCGCTGCTGAGCCGGCAGCGGGACCGGCCGTTGAGCCCCCTGCCGAACCAGCTGCTGAACCCGCTGCTGAGCCAGCTGCAGTACCTGCAGAAGAACCTGCCGCTGAACCAGTCGCTCAGCCTTTCGGAGGACCGACTTCAGACGCAGATGCCAAACCAGCTCCTGAAGAACAGGATGACGAAGTCGTTAGCATCGACGCTAAACCAGTCGCAGTCAGCTACTACGACGATGCAGTGTAGCTTTCTAATTCAATAAATGCCTGACTTCTGGGTTCCACTTTTAATTTAATTCCTATTGCCTTGTTCGCTTTTAATAAAACAAATACCAGCAGTAACTGCGGATATCTTTTTTGTCTTGTTTGGCCTTTTTCAACAATGTAAGTCACATTTAGAGTTGAGAGCTGTCATAGTTTCTCAAAAAAATTCTCATTCAAACGATTTTGCATTTGATTGGACCGCTTCCCGGACAAATATGACTACGCCTTGGTGAACAAACTGTCTCTGAGGAACGAGGAACGACACGGAGACAGATGTTAATTTACCAAAAAAAAAGCTTTACTTTAAAAACTCTAAAAAGTAAAAAAAAAAAGAATTAACACACAGTCGGGATGCGCGAGTACATTTCACACAACATATCTTCGAGGTGCGAGGAACATAAAAACTGCCACTCCTAGCGCGCAAGCGCGAATTCAAAGTATGAAAATCCTTCACACAAATATCTAGGCATTCACAAGCCCTCGCATTTGTTATATAGACTTTTTCTTAATGGCGCAACATGCTTAAATATTGCGCTATTGACCACCCCGACTAACAGCTTAAATCATGAAATACCGGCTGGTTGTAGCAGCAGAACTGTATTTGTAAACAATGGTGTGGGTAAGGGGGAACTTGCTAGATTTGACTATGGTGCATGGGCTACAATAACTTGGCTGAAACTAGCCGGTTAAATCGAGCAGGTTAATCACAGGCCATCGCCTTGCCTCCTCGGAAAAACGAGGACTAAGGCGGTAAAGTGTTTGATTGAGTTTCCACAACAAACGAATACATGAGCAGTTTAATGTAGTCTATGCAGGTAAGCTCGCGGAATTTGATAGCGGCATCTTGCGTTGTGGCACGAAGACGTTTTCTTACCCTTCACATGCTATGGAGTAATAGCATACCTTGCATTGATAACCTAATCGGAGCACCGTCACCAGGCTGGAATCGGTCCGCTGGCCTTAGACGAATTAGTAGTGAGCATAAACGTGACGATGAATTTGATACAGGGCCCTCGATATTCACGCGCGCATTCAGGTGACTTCATAAAAAAGAACCCTTGGGGAAGATGTGAAGCTCAGAAGCATTGCAGCAACACTCGCGCTGCAGCTCTCTTGTGCATCGTGCTCATGTTATGTCCGAGTTGTCATGGTTAGTTTAATTGCGAAAAAGCATTATGGAAAAATAAGATAAGGTCAGCTAGGCCTAAGGTTCGTTCAGTTCGTGGTCCCAAGCCAGAGTGTTTGCCTTTCTCGCGCGCTTGCACAAACTTTGATGCTCATCACTGGTTGCGCAGTTCCTCATGATGGTGGCTTTTGCCATTGACAGGTGAATTCTTCCACCCGAGACGAAACCTTATACTGGTCAGGGGGACGTCTGACCTTTAGCGATCGCACTTGTCTGGAACCTGGCGACTGGGTTGTTGCACATGGTGTAGTTGCAGTCATCCTATGTGCAGGTTATGGTTCACAAATGTCGCCTTTCACGTCCCATTTGGCTGGTTGAGCAGAGGGATCTTTCGCCTTCGTTGCCTTTCGGATGTGGTTCAAATGATGCCTTACCTTGCCGCTGGGAGACTCAATGAGTCAGGAAGGGGAACCGATACGACGCATCATCTGGCCCTGCGCCCAATCCGACTCAGTCAGGATTTGTCCCTAACGCACTTTCTCCCTTCTGGAGAAGTGTTGTGCTGGACTCAGCTTGTCTTGACTGTCCGTGACATCCATATCGGTCTTCGGCCTCAAAGAGTCAAGAGGGAAGGGTAGTTCTCGGCCGAACGTTGCTTTCCTGGTGTGATTTTTGAGGTATTGTGGGCAGTGAAATATTTCAACAAAAAAAAAAAAAACGTGCCAGTCGACGCTGTATGCTGCCCATTCTGTCTTTCATAAGTGCCCTCTTGAGTTGTGCGACATCGCGTTCTGCCTGTCTATTTGTCGGAGGATTATATAGTGTGGCTGTCACAGCTTGTATACCGCTTGACTTGCAGGAATTCTCAATCTCGTTAGAGACGAACGTATTTCCGTTGTCGGACACCACTTTTTTATACTATGCCAACTCTTTCAAAGAGGCTTATCAATGGCAGCTGTAGGTGTTGCCTGAGGTACATGACGTACCTCAACCCATTTCGTACAGACGTGTACTACAATTAAGTAGGTCTGCCCGTGTACTGGACCAGGAAAGTCTAGATGGATCGTGTGCCAGGGTGTCTCCGGATGTTCCCACACAGGAATCTGAAACTAAGGTGACTTTTTATTGTGATTTGGCATTCACGGCATTGCTGTACTGTTTCTCAATCTCGTTACCAAGTCCCGGCCACCATACCCAGCTTTATACGCTTTATTTCATCGCCATCATGCCTCTGCGCCCTGCATGTAAAAGCGTTAAGAGATGAGAACGTGCCGTGCTTGGTACGATGCTATGACACGAGATCCCCAGGTAAGGCGTTTTTGATAGAGTGCCAGGGCTGCGTCTTTCTGTCTGTAGGGCGCGACCTATTCTCCAGTGAGTTTGCTCACTGTGCCGTCCCGAACGGCGGCGTACAGATCATCCAAAGTTTGATCTTGCTTTGTCAGACTAGCTATCTTTCTGGCTGTGAATGCTGGACTCGACAAGGTTTGAAACATTATTATGCAACCCGGTGACGACCGTTCGCCCTCGCCTTCGGTTAATTGTTGCCTACTTAACGTGTTAACATTATGGTGGTGCTTGCCATGCCTGTAGGTGATGTCGTATTCATATGAAGACAATCTGGTGCACCATCTAGTCATATGTGGCGGCAGGAGTGGAGCTGTCGGTTTCTTCAGACCCAGCACACCCAGCATATCTTGATGGTCCGTGTTTAACATCACCCTCTTACCAGTGACCTACTTGTAAAATTTTTGGGCTGCAAAAACCACAGCAATGCCTTCTCGGTCCAGTTGAGCATAGTTTCGTTGCTCTGATTTCGTCGTTCGTGGAGCGAAAGCAATCAGTACCTCTCTTTTTTGGTCATTGCGTGGAGACAAAACTGCTCCCACGCCGTAAGGCGATGTGTTCTATAAAACACAGTTATTTTTCTTCGTCGCAGTGTGCCGACACTGTCTGTTTGATGATTAAGTTTTTCAGTTGTTCAAATGCTTTCTGGTGCCTTGTTCCCCTTCTCCCCACAGTGTATTTCTGGAGGACTTAGTAGAGGCAGCTGGCGATGACTGCTCTATCCTTCAGGACCCTGTCCTAGGAAGCAGCCATGCCCAGGAATGTGTGTAAGGTTTGATTACAAGTCGGTGCTGCAACATCTGCAATGGCTCGAACTTCCTCCCCTGTAGTGCGGACCCCGGCATCGTCGATTGGGTGTCTCAGAAAAAAGACTTGTCGAACCCCAAAAGAGCACGTGGCACTAGCAAAATAGAACTTCCCAAGGCGGAGGTTGTACTTTTCCAATTGCTTCAGGACGGCTTCCAGCCGGGAAGCTTGTTCAGTGGCATCCTTGCCCCCGATGATTACATCGCTGAGATAAACTCGAACGCCTGGAATGCCCGTCAGCATAGACTCAATAAAGCGTTGGAAAATGGTGGGTGCCGTGAAGATCCCAGAAGAGAAAATACTTTTATCTTGTAAAGGCCTTTCGGGGTGTTGACGTTCAGTACTTCTGCAGTTCGTGGCGTTACGCAAAGCTATTGATGCGCTTGTACCAGACCGAGCTCTGAAAAGTATACCGCCTCTCAAGTGGCTGTCGACTTCAAACCATAGGGCGCCTTATGGTTTGAAGACTGGCGGTTCGCTGCCTTGGCATAGGAGTTAATCCTCTTTTTCTTTTTTTTTTTACTTTTTTCTCGGGAAAATTCGCTCTTTGCGAATTTTATAAAAAAAAATGCACCACCTGTGGCCAACGCTGTACCAAACCGGAATGCGATAGGTTAAGAAACCAATTTTTGCGGTTGATTTAAAGAGCCTGAAGATATTTGAGACACGCAGTACTTTCCGGTCACGACAAAAGCCTCTGTATTGGTTTCCAGTTTGGGTCATACTATTTCTGTTTAAAGAGGAAGGAGAGGTGCTTTTGTAAGAGTGTGCGCTATGGACCCTAGATGTTCCATAAAATTGGGAAGAGGGGCAGTTGATACTTTCCTATTACCCCTTTACCACTCCACCTCGCGCGGCCCCGGGGTAGCATGGAATAGGATGGGATGAATACGTGCTTTCCAGCAACTACCTCGGGGGGTTTATTTTTAAGCTATCGAAGTTCATCGAAGCCCCGCATTAGGATTGCCCATTGCAATGTCACCAACACCAAATCCAGCTGAAGAAATATAATTAATAAAGTGTGTTTTATTTTATTTTTTTTTATTTTTTATCTAGCATACGTTTACACCTGGATATATTGTTGTTGTTCTTTTTTTTTTCTTTTTATAATAGGAAACAGTGCGAAATTAAGCTTCAAATTTCGGACATTTTTTAATCAAGCAAAAATAAACTCCTATAAACTCCGAAGTTTCGGAAAAAAAGAAACTCTGAAAAACACTCTCCGAGTTTGTGGAAAAATAAACTCCAAAAACACAGAATCCTAATTACAGCACATCAACGTTACGAAAACAACTCAGTTGGCAAACTGCCATAGAGTTTGGTTCGAAAAAGTGACTCCGGTCCGCACTGGAGAACCGAACTGAAGGCGATCGCAACGCCACCATATCGCCCGCAGCGGCTACTCCGGGAACTACACGGCTGCACGTATTGGTTCAGGTCGAGTCGCACAAAGACCCGGTGCGCCATCTTGCAGTGACATTTCGCAGTAGCTCAGTAAATCAACTTTTTATGTTTTGACTGGTCGCAATACGCATCGCAATACGATGTTATTGTATTTCTCGGTGGACGCGAGCGGTTCGGGTTTTAACGGCGAGTTTCCCAATTGAGTGTTTTAGTAACGTTGCAACAGATGCAAAAAGTGAAAGCCGTTCACAACTCCCTGTAACGCCGAATTGGAGCGCAGCTCTTGAGGAGGAGGAGGGAAGGGTACTGAGGGGAGGGTAGACCCCTCCTCCTCCTCCTCCCCTCATTCTTTAATATGCTCCGGGGGGTCATGTGACTTCGGGGGGGGGGGTCACGTGACC